ATTTCCTCACCCATGTTGTTATATGAATGAATCGAATTCTGGGTTTATGTCGACTAACCAACAGTTTTCTAATTTAAGAGACAAAAAAGACTGAATTTCGAATTTTTTTGAAACGAGAGTCAATTTCTAACCGAACTCCCTCGAAACTTATTTTAGTATTTGCTTCCAGAATTCGTCAAAGACGTAAAAACAACATCAAAACAATTTTAGGCCCAAACAATAACGTTTATCTAAAGTAGAATAAATAATGAAATAATCCGCCAATCAGGAAGGCACTAAATAAAAAGAGGACATTTACACATAAAAATGTCGAAAACTAGATAATTAAAAAACTAACTACGAAGTAGACAACCTATTGTTTGGTCTTCATTTCGATGGATAATTGAATAAAACTTCTTTTTGCTTTGGACACCAGAAGACTAGACCGTTTATGCGGTTTACTTTATTATGTCTTCAACATTGTTTCCGGCTTCAAACCTCATTGTAATTATAAATAAAATTTAAACGGCTTTGGCACTACAACACGAAAACATTGTGTCATTCCTCAATAAAACATTGATGATACCACATCCATTGACCCTCCCATTTATAAATAAACGGCCGGCTTTTAACGGCGGTTTCAGTACATCTAATTATGTCGCATACATTGCAATTTATATAACAATTGTTATTCCGCAAAGTCGCCAGCCTGAACTTATAAGAGCCACATTCAAGCCATATTTACTAGAAGTGCATTAATTAGTAGAAACAATGCATCGATAATGCGTTCCAATGTGGTACTACAGTTCCTACCAAATCGACTAGATGAATAAATTATTAATAGTGGGTCAAGTTTAGTTACCTAATTTGAAATTCTCTTTCAGTAGGTATGGAACGGAAAAAAATCGACAGCCAGTCTTTTGTTTACAAATCCCATGAATAAAAATGTACTACCACTGACAAGGTTATAAATTATAGTGTTGAGTTGTGGCTACAATTTAAATGATTCAGTTATAGGTATACGGGACGAACTGATACCTACACATACGGTTTACTTTTTTATACCTAGTATTAAAACAATGCCAGTCTCTAACTTACCATAAATTCACTAAATCAAGAAGATCTTTTTTTTTGTTTGCTATATGAATTCATTGGCCATTTTCCTATTTGGCAATTCAATTTTTTTATTTTACTTTACTCACTTACTTGTGGTTTGACAGATGTTTAAAAAAAATCGACGACGTTTTCTTTCTTTCGACTTTCGACGACGTCTTTCGACGAGTTCGACGAAAAATTTTGTAGTTTTTTCTGTTCAAAAATCAACCAAAATGCTGCACTGAACTGAAACCCACAGGATATAAATTGCAATCATGATTGGCAGCGGTAATAGGACAAGGACAAAAAGTGAATTTATTAATTTATTTAGGGTGAAGTGTCCTCAATTTACTACTCATATCGCCAAGAACTATAAACAAGTATGAAAAATAATGTCGGAAAATTGATAGTTGAAAAAATAATTGTCAGAGTGAGTGAGTAGACGGACAAACCTCCAGGAACTCACCAAAGATCAAGAAACGTACGTATCTCTAAAGAATTAACGTTTCTGTTAAATGGTGAGATAAATTGGCAAAATTGCCCATATTGGGCGGACATAAACCCAGTGGATGAAGGAGTAGCCACGCGTAACATCTTGAAAAATCTTGGGGATTGATAGGATAAAGGATCTTGGGGATAATAGGACCGATGTTCATCCAAATCTCACTGGAGCGGAATATTTAGAATTCTTGCAGGAAGACTAATTCCATATCTGGCTGCTCTATTTTCTGATCTGGATGATTCCGATGGTCGATTTGGTTGTTCTTTTTCAATACTTCTCATTTTTCAATACTCTAGATGATTTATCACTAGGCAGATGAGGACTGAATGATCTCTCAGATCTCCGGATTTAACATCAATGGACTATTTCTTATGCGAGCACTTGAAAACGATTTTTTTTTTAGACAAAACCAGAACAGATTGAGGAGTTTCAAATATGAATACGACAGAAGTATGGGCTAATTTGCGTTGAAGAAGTTATAAATTTTTAAAAGGAGTTTTATGTAGGCTCAGGATATTGTCACCACCTGGCAATATTTTGGGCATTGGTCCAAGACACATTCAGATTTAATTATTTTTCGAATTAGTTGATTGTTTTTCGAATGTGTAAGACATGTTTGTTATCTACCTATCTTTGAAACACCAAAAAAGAAAAGTTTTAGTATTAGAACGCATTACTTTGCTAAAAAAATTGAGATTGCCAGTTGAAGAAAACGTTGAAAAACGTCTAAAAATCTAAAACTTGATGCCAAAATGTTTTTTACTGAAAAATTTGTATTGAAACTAGTTGTCGACGTAACGAACATATATGTAAAAACGTTTACATAGATTCGATCCATACATATATTATAGTAGCAACAGAAGATTCGATTCAAATTGGAAGTTCATTTAAAAAGCGACAGAGTCCACAGAGAAAAAAACAGATATATTGGTTATGGGTGTTAGATATTTCTTGAATGGCTCAAGCAGCATTAAGAAGTATTGTATGTAAATATATTCCGCAAACCAAAGATCTTGCAAGATTTCTTGCAATTGTACAAAAAATGGTGTCCAAACGAACATACGTTTCTTATACATTGATCCATATACATCAACTATTAGTTGGCTAAAGTGTACAGTTTTTGCCAGTTTTGTTATTTTTAAACTAATTTTTTTTGCTGGCGAAGCCACATCATAGTGAACTGTTTACTTTTCTCCTTAGTAATTATCCATTAAATAAAATTATTCGAAGACAAAGATCCTGACCCGACCCTAAGTGGACTAATTTTATTTAATTGCCAAATAATTGAATCAATGACCGAGAATTTGCGTCATCCGTGCAGAATGTAGCGGAAATAAAGCAAGTTCACACCCAACTAGTCGGATGCACCGGAACAAAGGAACATTAAATCAGAACCATGTCAAACCTTAAATGCTCACTCTTTCCATATTCAATTTGCACTGCGTCATATCAGAAACAGGACATTATGTTATTATACATGTTCACTGTTTTAATTTTTTTCTGCATTTAGTCTAAGCTTAAAACTGCTTCTTCATTGTGAATAAATAGCTCGAGACAATTCGTCCTTTTACCACAAACATAAATTTTTAACTTAACATTTCTTGCTCTTTAAATATACTTTTGTTTTACTACGAAAAATATGAAAATGGGTTTTCGATATTGAAACTGGGGACTGTTTTTATCTTAGTTTTATCGTATAACAGTGTGTTTTTTCAAGAGTTGCTATCCTTTATTTCATCTCCAACAATGCTTGTACATGTCAGCCATTTGGGGCTTGCTTGTTGTGGTATAATCCTTAATATCCTCTTTTTGTCCAAACTTTTCATTAACTTTCTACATACATAAAACGATACTGAAAATTTCCCAATATTTCTYAGRTTTAAYATTCAATGTGTTGTTTATTTAARRTTGCAACTTTGTTTTTAAATTGTTTGTACMCACGATGTTGTACAATTTTCTCCATGAGCTCAAATCTAGTTTAAGAAACGTTTCTACGAACTTACCGTATATAATATTGAGAACTCTACWTTTAACAGATTATATGAGTCTATGAGCGAAAGATCAAAAGCATAATTTGTTTGCAATGTTTCTTTATTTGAAAGAGGTTTAAATTAATGATTTTGYGCAAATTGCACATAGATTACACATTTCAAACCCTARGSKAAAAAATGCATACATCGCCTCYAAATTGCAGTATAATCGTGCAATTACACAACGATTCTTAACTATCTCCGATTACTACGCTAGTTTAAGAAAATTGATGAAAGAAGTTAACTAGGCATGGTTTCATTTTGCGCCTGGTTTCTGTATGTAAATATTCGAACAACAAAATTAAGTTTTGAAGCTGCTCCTCATTTTTGTTTCTCAAATTGTTAACAGCAGTTCRGATAATTCTGAATTAATYAACTCGCAGACTGCTCACGGAGATCTACATAAATAAACAAATMAAAAGATAAATTAGCTACTTATATTTCATAATCCACGCTCTCAAAGCGATCAAGGGAAATTCGGACTATATATTTATCTCATGCTTCCTTATGTATTATCTCACATACTAATCCTTATTCATGTAATCCTACATTCAGTAATAAGTACTTTTTAATTGTAGGTTCGTGAAACGGCTAAGACGGAGGAGACAAGACTGGAAACCCTCTAATGAATGCGTAGGCTTGTACAAACGGATCCATTTGTGTAATACTCAGGTACAAAACTCATAAATATTGAATATTCATGTAAAATAACAATAAATAATCCTACAAAGGTGATAAAGGAAAGGCGAATAGTTCCAAACGCAGCTGCTTCTGGACCTATTTATTTTAAAATAGTTTAATATAACAGAACATATTCTACATCCAAGAAAAGTGAGGGTGCTTTAGTTTTAATTATAAAACGAATCTGCTTGTTTGTGGACCATGAATTTCATTTATTAGCTCTTTTACGACGGTTATATTGGAATTTAAACATTTTATAGCAGTTTTATTTGGGTATTTTACGCGCCTCGTGGTCCTATCACAAGTCGGAATCGTTGCCTTAAAAGTTCAAAAACAATATCTGTTGATGCTCCAGCGAAATATAAATAAGAAATCAATCGGAGGAAAAAATGTTAATTGCGTTGAAATGGTAAAAAGCTTATTGACGAGGTTGTTAACCGCGCCAATAAAATGCAGTTATTGCAGACATTCGGCAAACTGAAAAGTTCTGAGCGTAAGATGTTAATTTACAATTGTGAAGCAGTTTGGGAAGGTAAAATAATAAAGTTCGCAAACAGCTAGACTGATACCTATTTTTATTATTCTAGGATGATGTACTTAACAGTCGCATAAGCAAAATTATGCATGATAAATAAAAAATAATTAACACTTAATAAACGCTCCGTATATTTCATGACGCTTATTAGAAACTAACTAACCACCCACCTTCAATGCCTGTTAATGCCGATATTCGTCGACTGAAAAGCTCATCTTCATTTTTACGACTATTATCATCGGACAAAGAAGAAGGCGCGTCCGATTTCATTAGGCCCAGCAGATAGGTTAATTGAATCGGACGTTCGGAGTCCGATAACAAATGTTTCTTCCATTTAAATTGATTAATCAGACTATTCATTAACTTCATTTGCCTCTTCGCAGGACTGCCCAGGCAATCGAGATTTCCGATATGAACAATGCGCTGCCTTCAACAATCGGCCCTTCAAAGGAAGAACCTACCACTGGGAGCCGTTTTATCAAGGTAAGTGAATTGAACCAGTAGCGTACTCTGCGTGTCTACATCTTGATTTTTCAGTAAATTCAAGGCAGAAAATTATAAAAATACTAGATGAAAAGGAGAAGATCGCTATAGTTAAACAGTAATGTATTTTTCCATTCAAGAACTATTTCCATGCTATAAATTTTTCTGTATCTTCTCGGATTTTCGAGAATTGAATGAAAGGAAAGCAAAAATTACCGACCATAAATTACAGCAAAAAATAGTTCAATTAAGATCTACTATGCGGACAAGACACATAAAAACATAGAATTATGTGCCATCATTGTCTTCAATTAAAAGTTTTTGTCTTTTGCGTAATATAACAATTACTGTTACTCTTATTACTATTATTAATATTATTATTGTTATGAATATTTCCTTCGTATGACAATCTGTCCGTTTGAAGTGTGCAATTATCGAAAAATTACAGCGATAATTGCGCAGTGTGCAATTATCACTCAACGATAATTGCATTGTTTACAAAAAATATTTGACAGGTGTCTTTTTATGTTGAATTAGACATCAAATGTCTTCCTGACAGACCTAAGATATTCAAATTAAATTTAATAAACATAAGTAATAAAATTTAAAGGGTAATAAAATATAATAGAAATAAAATGAATGCACATTTACTTTGTTTACTCAGGATATATTCATCAAAATTACACTCGTGCATCAAAATAAACAGATAATTTTGCATTCGAGTTTGTTGTCTCGTAAAAACGTAAAAAAAGTTTTTAGACAACAAGCTTTCATGCAAAATTATCGGTAATTTTGAAGCACTTGTGCAATTACCCCCGATAATTAAATAGTATCGGATTAGCTTGCATATAATATTCGAAAATGAAATTAGAATTGACTAGAGTGAATGATGATGTAATAAAATATGTTTAATAATATGTTAATAATAAATTTGTTCGCAAAATACGTATAACTTTGAAGTTTTTCACACATATTTTATAGCAGTTGACTGCACAACAAATTTTTTAATAAATCAGGAACACACAATTGACTCGAATCATTTAGAAGCTTATTCTAAATATGTTTCTATTGTGTGATTTGTCATTTCTTCTTCGTTCTCTTTAAAACATACAGGTTTCTAAAAATAAGTCCAAACAGGCTTCGATGCAAAAACAACTTCATTTACATTAAGGTGTTCAAATCTCAATCAAGTAAAATACCAAAAGGATTCATGGTTCCAGAACAGGCTAACGTGAATGGAAATAGTGAGTAAACTAAACATGCAAACAGCGACATAATCATCAGGAAATTATATTTTTTTATGCACAACTTTCATTTCATTTTATCGTTTCTATAATATATTTTATTAATCGACGATTTTGCAACTAGTTAAGCCAAATTTTCTGAGTAAAACTATAACATTTTGACAAAAAGTAAATGGTAATTACAGAACTTTATAAACAATTATACGACTTTTACATAGAGATACATTTCTGATTGAACAGAACGAAAGCAACTAACCGAATTATTCAAAAAATAATTTGAATAAAACTATCATATTAATGATAACGTATAAAATTCGTAATAGATATTAATACAGCATTGTTGAGTAGCAAAAATAAGCCGCAATCACTTAAGCATGTAAAAGATAACACAAGCCTCTTAATAAATTGACTAATAAGGCTCATAAAAAATTGTTGAGAACGAAAAGCTCTCATCAAAAGCTTTAAGAATCTTATTACATTTACCTGCTGCTCCAAATCAACATTTTTGCTTAATTGGATCGAGTGAATGAGACAGGTAAATTAGGTGCTTATTGATAAATGCCTGCCTATTTGGTCAGAAAACCGGACGAGTAAATACTTACTAAATGGCTTTATCAATGCGTTAAAATCCCGATCTCTTCACGCTTAATTAACACTTTCGGTAATTAGCATTGACTTTTGGAGAATTGGCGGCAAGATTTTTCATATTTTCTTTAATCTAATTTCATGGACGAAAGCGGTGTTTTAAATTTATAATTTATTGCTCCGCACTTATATGATGCACCGCTATTTATATGATGTAGATATGCAGGTAATTTCATTTCAGAAAATATTTTTTTGGGGGTACATTTTTCGGTACAATATTTGAATATACCTGAAACCCACATTCTTCGCTCGATTTTTGGGTGTTGATTTCCGATGTGGTTGTTTACAATTTTTCACAGATACTTTCCTATGCAGATAATTTAATGTTTTTTCTGCTTTATCAAGAATTTTTGTTTCTATAGTTTCATCGAAAATTTTATGTGTTTCTAGTTTATTGCTTGCATAAAAAATTTAAATTATTATGATGATTAGGTATATTTAGGATTATATATGTATATGTTTTATTTAATAACAAATATCCCGAAAGATCAATCAACCGGCCACTAATTATCTAAATAAAAATAAATCTAAAATAAATAATCTAAATAATCTAAAAATTGAAAAATTTGTTGAGATGCTGGCAGAGAAAATACCAACCACAATTACAATATTTCCTGTTGCAAAAAATTTGCAACACCAAGAATTGGGAACAAAAAAATGCGGGCTTGATGATAATAAAATGCGTGCATTTTTATGACAAATAGCAGAATTTCAGTGGAATTCATTCGATTTTTTATCTCTACCCACTCTAAAAATAATGTGTCCAAAATTACCTTATTTAATGTAAGTTTAAAATTATTTATGATTTTATTTTAATAAGTAAAGTCCAAACTGTCGCAAATACACCTTCAGGAAAAAGTCCCAAGTTTACAAAACTTATTCTGCCCATCCTTTCGCACATGCAATATTGAAAAAAGCGGCATTAGGAAAACGTAAATAACTTTTCGTAAATACATAGAAAAAAATTCGATTTCACCGATAACATGGATCTTGCATGAATCATCAAAAAGCTATTTATCCGCCACTAGGAAAAGTAAATAGATTCGAAAGGCATCTGGCAATAAATCAGCTATTAAATCTACCCTTGGAACGAAACGTGCAGTAAATTAAAGGTTTATTTGCCCTAAACGGATTTTCCTCTTATTAGGTAAAGCTGAATGCGCCCTAAATTGCCGGCCCAAAGGATTAAGTTTCTATGCCACCCTTAACAAGACTGTGATTGACGGTACCCCTTGTGACCACCCCATATTGGCAACAGGAAAAGCCGCCCCTAAGGGCTCGAAGGGAGTGTGTATTGACGGTTATTGCAAGGTGAGTACATTAGAGAAAATGTGTTATTTATTCATCAAGAATTATAGGCATAGAGCAAGAGCTAAAGTAAATTGAGTGAATGTGGAAATAATAGAGGCAAAATTAATGCATGTGAATGTTTGTTATTTAAAATTTACGTTGATAAAGTAGCTAGTTTACATTTCGGGTTAACTGCTTATTAAGTTCTGATCCACTGCAAAGAGTTGGGGAATCGAAGGTATAATTTATTCAACATCAAATTAGTTTAACGCGAGGAAAACGTTTGATGAATTAAAATTAGAGCGAAGAAAAGAAAACGCTTCTAAATTTCTTTTAAATTAAATGCTTTTTTTAAGTTGTTTGAATATAAAATATTTATGACGTTTTCAAATTTGGTTGTTGCTTGTATAAATATATGATTTTTTGTTTCAGGTAAGTGGACAACTAAAAATGCAGCTGAATAAACGCAAGTATAAAAAATAGATCTAGTTAAAAACAGTTTGAGAATAAACTTTGTTGTTCTCGTTATTAAAAACAGTATCAATAGTTAAAATATTTTATTACGAGCAAAAAATATGTCATCTGCTTCCTAATGAAAGCAAAAGAGTACGTGGATAAATCCTGTTAAACGATTAATACACTCGCATTCACCAGCCTTCAAGAACCGTTACATGATTCATACAACAAAAATTAAGCAAATTGAAACCAACCCATAAATTATCTTATCTATAGCATATAAAGAAATGAAGTAGGCAAAGTTTTCAAGGAAAAAAAATTATGAAAGTTACAGTATTTTTCAAGAATATCGGACTTATAAGAGCACATCCGCGTTATCTAAGTTGTAAATTTATGAAAAATCTAAATTATATTCAAAGTAAATACAAATTGGCAAATTTGCAGCGATTGTTGCGTACTTTTGCCGGTTTTACTCAAATAACAATTTCCTGAAAGTAAAATATGCGGACGTGGAATACCGACATTAACAATTTCTTTCTTTGCATATCGACTGCCTGAGGAAGTCCATATACATATTTGAGGCAAATAGAGGCAGACAACTTCATTGCCTGGCATCTTCCTATGCAATTTATGTTTGACATGTTCAATTGCAACTAACGCAGCCCATTATTGGAGCCCCAGATCGATATTAATTTATGTTTAACAATAGAAGAGAAGCCATTAGTTTAATGGATGGTAATGCGGCCGTTAGAATAATTTGTTTCGAGTGTTGCGATTTGATGTTGACCTTTTTTGAGTTGAACACAACACTGACGTTCGCAGATTTATTTTATATATAAAAAAAAACGAAAAAAACGAAGCTACGAAATTCCCTGCATTATTTATAAGTCACTTTAAAAACGGATTATACTGAAGTGCCACACATCGCCAAATAAAGATATTAATTAAATCGACTTACATCTGATATGCAAATAGAGGATTGGCCGAATTCGATTTGCATGGAAATCATTTAATTTATAAAGTGTGCGTTATTTGTAGCAAAAAAATGTCCAATGAAGTACAGTTATCGGGCGCGATCTTAAAGAGTTAATATTTTACTCGGGATGAATTTCAAATAAAGCGTTAACAAAAAAAATAAATTGATTAGTTGGGATTTGGGTATATTCTACATTGTGACCGAAAAATTGCGTTATTTCTGTTTAGGGCTGTTTTAAAGAGAACAAACGAAGTGTGGAGGAAAAACTGTTTATACCTCAAAGAGATTATGTGTTCAAGATGCAGTTTTAACTTTGCTAATAAGCTTTAGATTATATTATAAAAGTACTCTCACGAAAATTGAAAAAAATCGCATTTCTGTATAATTTTTAACTAACAACTAATTCAAAATTATTTCGAGCTTCTTATTGGAGATCAAAGAGATTATGTGTTCAAGATGCAGTTTTAACTTTGCTAATAAGCTTTAGATTATATTATAAAAATAGGCAATTTTTATAAAATTGATGATCACTCTCACGAAAATTGAAGAAATCGCATTTCTGTATAATTTTTAACTAACAACTAATTCAAAATTATTTCGAGCTTCTTATTGGAATTATGTATTCCAAAACATCAAGATGTAAAATATTATGGAATACATATAAACTTTACCATTTTGGGATGCTATAAATAGTTCAAATCGTCAATATGATCAATATGAGTCACGCATCAATGTCTTGCCTATTGAAAGGAAATTTATTGCTGTTCGCCAACTTGAGGGTTGAGAAATTGCAGCAACTAAACTGTTGATTACTGAAGTTGTGCTTTTATAGGCAGGTAATAAATGGGGAGTTTGAAATAGATCATGTTCAGTTGCACGATTATTTTTGAAGATACTGGCATAATTGCCTCTACAGATCAACTTCTGGCATTTTTACCCGAATATGTACTTACTGTATTAACAATAAAAAAAACATGTATTCATTGTTTATACAGAGTGTTCCCAGTCTGCTATAGTTTAAGAACGTAGTCTTTGACTGATTTTTAGTTGAAAATGCTTTACACACTTGTTGCGGCAATAATAAAAAATAAATTGTTCTTTTGTGATATTAATAGTTACATTTTGAGATTAATTGGCTATGGCTACGTTCTCAAATCAGTAATATGCTGATATTATTTTATTTATGGATACTGTGACGGAAATGTTCGAATAGTAACCAATAAGAAAATATTCATGAATGTGGATCGTCATTTGGCAGATGCAGGTCATTTTCCTAAAGCTTCTGCAGAACCTCGCGTACAGCAAGATTGATGATTGCTGAAGACATTCTTAACGTGATCGAAAATAGTCCCTCCACTAGTGTACAGCGGCAATCCAATCTTGTCTTTGTTAGTAAAATGAAAGTGTGAAGAACCTTGCACAATTTCGATTTGAACTCATTTGAAGAAAATACAGATATTGTTTTATACCTTGAGAAAAACGAAGAAAACATGCCACAATATTATGTGGTAACAGCGGATTTAGGAGAGAAAGTTTTGCAATTAATGAAAAAATTAAACACTGTATCTCGAAAAAAAGCAAATAAAAAATCTTTTTTAGAACATTTTCCATTGAAGTTTGCCGAGAAAAACGTTGTTCATCCTGTATATACAAATCAAGTATACCGAACTAAGAATTTTATGAATTTATGTCACATGAAAACAATTAATTTTTTGTTGTTCAACACCACATGCATTATGATAAATCTCATTAGTTTCTTTTAAAAAAATTGTCGTTTTTCGATAAAGCATATCGCATTTCACTCCTGTTTAAACAATTAATGTTTCAACACAATAACTTTTTTGTTAGTTTTTGCGTACATACAATCGGCGATTAATGGTGAGCATCAACATGCACACAGACGCTTTCGACTAACATAGTTTCATGTGAATAATTTGCAAGAAGATATTGCATTACCGTAGAGAGTCTGCAATCAAGATTAGATCTAACCTAAGGAAAATATAAATAAAATATATGAATTATCGATCAAATTGCCTAGAAAGCAATGTAACCTTTAACAGAACATATTATTTACAACGGCATTTATTTCACCCGCAGCAATAAACTAATAAATTAATCGGAATGCACCATTGTAATTATTGAAACTTTATTCTTGTACTAACCAATCAGGTTTTATAATGTAGGGTAATATTTCCTGATACTACTTATTTACAGTTATAAATAATAAGGAATATTAAACAATTCAAACAAATAAATCGAATCATAAGAAAAGGGTTTATTTAGATTGCCAATCGAGCTTATGCCACTATTTGGATATAAAAATTTGTCACATGTCCTACCAACTTTGGCCAGATTTCACACAATTTAATGCATGTAGATATAACGAAAAACAGCAAGGAACTCTCAATAATGATGCAGCTAAACCCATTGTGCAATCGTTACCAAAGCCAATATGACACGAACAAAATGCATTATAATAAAGCACAAAGAAAACATTGAATAAGGTGTGAACCGCCTATTATATGACGTACAGATCCTAGCATAAGAACAATCTACAATACTACCAACATTCTTTAAACGACGCATTTACATACAAAAATACTTGGCTCTTGATTATCGTTGTAACGAGATCTGTATTTAGATGATTCTTGTGCTTTCCACCTACAACACAATGCTTCAAATGTAAGTAGTGATTAAGATAGCGATTTGGAACAAGTGATCATTTCAAGTGTCATTCAAACTTGATCATTTGATACACTGAAAAATTCTACATCAACTTCTAGATTTATTAAGGTTCCAATTGGTTTATGTAGATTTTCTTTAGGGTTTCTTCCGCTTTGAGGTCTCAACATTGTTTTCTGCGCTTTCTTCCTGTTTATTAGATTATGCATTTTGTCTTTTTTTGCACGTTTTTGTGTTGCTGAATTGACTTAGTGGATAATAAAATGATGTAAATCTATAGAAAATTGAGCAAGTTTAGAATAGAAGAAGTTTTGTAAGCATGGTATATGTATTGCTCAGACCAGCGTAAGCTTTCGAGCGAATCACAACCAGGAAGAACAAATTTTTTTAAATTCACACCTGATAATTCAGATATTTTATTTTGTATATACTAAATTTATATAATTGTAATTTAATTATATTTGAATAATTTATGACTGCTGAACTAAATTACTTTATTTGTTGATCGTTTTATTTGACGGTCAGGAAGGCAAATTTGTGTTTAACGAATAGTAAAAATAAATAAGAACAAGGATGGAGTAGAAATAGTTCTACGTGTGAATTTATAGGACATACACAACCGTTCAGGAGAAAGAAGTGCGTTGTTTTTCTTTAAATGGATTTTGTTTCGCAAGAGCTCGTAATATATAAGTTTTTTTTTCAGTGGCTATACATAGTCTTTTACTCTTTTACTTACACATGGCCTCTTATATGAATTTATCACAAAATATTCATCAGTAAACCTTTTGGCATTATGCATTGGCAAGGACCAGTTTACTGAGTTACTTGATGAAAATAATAATATATCGCATTCGTTTTTGGCTTAATTCTATGTTTCTATTTTACGGTTCATATTTATTGAAAATGT